ATAAGATCAAATTTTGGAAGATCTTTGAATTTATTATTTTAAGCATAAAAATTAAAATAAACACATATAACATGTATAGAAAAAAACTTATTAAAAATAATAATTGTCAATGATTGTACTTATGAAAAAGAAACATGATTATTGAGATTAAAAAAATTAAAAATTTAAGAACTAATGTAATAAAACATTAAATATATAAACTAATTGTTAAATTACAGAATACATTAATGGTATCAAACTGTTGTGCCCACTGATAAACTATTTATTGCTCATTTTCATTAGACTGTAAACAGGGATTATAAGTAATGATAACTGAATTACAAAGGGAAAAAGAATTACCACACATATGATAAACTATAATGTACTTAAAGAGTAGTTACTGTTTATGTTATACAACATGTATTTTAAAATAAAAACAGCAAACAAATAAAGTGAACAATACAGTGAAGAATATTTTTCTCTGTGTTCTCACAATTACTTTTTAATATCTACGTATTAGATTTAGAACAAGATTATTTAAATGTTATAAATTATTTTAATTTAATTATAATAGTTTGTTATGTTACTTACTCAACTATATAACTGTTTATTACATACAACAGTTTAATAACCATCATGAATTGTAATTTGTTAGTTGCATTGAGAGTTAAAAAAACATTATATAAAATATATTATTGCACATGTAAGTATAAAGAAGTTATTACTTCTAATATTTAGAAAATATCATTATATATTTTTAGATGCATGTAAAATACATGTTTGAAAGTATACTTTATACCAAAAATGTATCCGTTAAATCTTCCTTCTTGATAAAACTATAATGGTATAGCTATTAAAACAAATTTACATACAAAGCAAAGCGTACAAGAATAAAACGTACCATGCTTCATGGCTGCCATGTGCGAAAACAGATATATACGTCTGAGTGTGGCGTGAGTAGCTGCTACTCACGCACTACTTGCATAAATGTTAAATCTGCTTGTTCTGTGTCGGCGGCGTGAGTGCAGCAGGCATTCATTCTTTAGCTTTTTGTTTAGTGTTGATATACCTGCTGATTTCTTTGCTCAGAGTCCATCGTTCTCAAGGGTAGGGCAAGCAAGTGCATTACCAACTCTTTAGGGAAAATGAAACAACAATCATTAACTTGACATTATAAATATTGTAAAATACAAGATTTTGTAATATCATCAGAAAAATATTATATTACATTGTCACTTAATTTTATTTTAAATACTATAA